CTGGACAATGAACATGAACAAGCAAGACTAAAGAATTGATGTATCTGAATTATGGTGCTGGCAAAAAATATTAACTATACCATGGACCGCCTGAACAACGAACAAATCTTTTTTGAAAGAAGTACTGCCAGAATGCTCCTTAGAAGCGAGGATGTTGAGTTAGAATCCACTCACATACTTTGGACATTTTATCAAGAGGGACCAGTCTCCGGAGAAGGACCTCATGCTTGGCAAAGCAGAAGGACAGGGAAAAAGAGGAAGACTCTTAACAAGATGGACTGATACAGTGGCTGCAATGACGGGCTCAAACATAGCAAGGATTGTGAGAATGGCACAGACTGGGCAGTAAGTATTTTATTTTGTTGTACACAGGGTCCCTATGAGTCAGAATCGACTTGACGGCACCACCACCACCACCACCAACATATCCATTTACTAAGGAACTATGCCCTGGTAGCATAGTTGTTAAGTATTTGGCTGCTAACTGAAAGGCTGGCAGTTCAAATGCACCAGCCACTCTGCAGGAGGAAGATGTGGCAGTCTGCTTTTGTAAAGATTATAGCCCTTAAAGTTATATGGGGCCATATTCTACATGGTCACTGTGAGTTGGAATCGACTCGACAGCATAAACCAACAGCAACATATCCATTTACTGCACCTATGAGCTCCCTCTGGAAGAAGGCAGACAAGTTTCGTTCAGGGTTAATACACAATAAAGACAAACAGAAAAGACTACTGGTCTCCTGAGGGTGAACTAACATTATAGCACCAGGTTCTTGCTCCTTTTACTATACAGTGATTTTTCTCAACTCTCCCAGCTGCATCACAGCAGCCTTTCTTCTGTCTCTAGTTTCAATAAGCTTCCACTTAGAAAGATGCTATAATTTTGAACTGTACATTTATCTTAGATTTGCTAATTTGAAAACACACATGCACCCAACTCATTTGTAAGTAAGATTTAACCACCCAGCAATCTGAGTAGCAGACACAAAATTTCATTTGGTATAATATCTAATACTTATGTGAAGCTAATTAAAGATAATTTGGTCTTAATGAGGCAAAGAGAATATAACAGTTTGTTAATTTCAAAGTAGGCTGATCCATGAAAGTCAAGTAAAATCACTTCTTAGTCCTGACATTTCCATAGACCTGTAGACTACCTAATGATTCCCACGTTCATATTATTACAGGTTAGAATAATCCTTCACATTTGCCTAATATTTTATAGCTCCTGGTAATCTTCACATCATTATATCACTGGATCCTCACAAAAGCCCTGTGGATGCCTGGTCCACAGACATTACCATTCTCAATGTATAGGTCTATTGCAATTACATAGCCACCAGGCTGGGATAGCTTATTTGGGGCCCCTGGCAGTATGTACCTCACTTCACATTTTTACTACATAAAAACTTGAAAAGAATTTTTAAAGAACTTTTAAAAACCATGGATTCAAACATACCAATGGATCATAAAAATGGCATCAGACTAGGCAACATTACAGTATTTAGTTCTGCTATATACATAAGGCTGTCAAGGGTTGGGGCCAATTCAACAGCAACTAATGAAAGAAGCAATCAAAGTATAGTTAAAGAAAATACTGTCCACTTGTAATACCAAGGCATCTTCAAAACTGAAAATTTCTCATTGACTTTACTTTATGATGAAGGATACATGTATTACTCACATCTATGAAATCTAAGCAGATTATAAATGTGACATCATACAAATGGTACTTCAGATAGGGGCAACTAAAAAAGTATCAGAAAAATGGGAAACACATTTAAGAATGATCCTCTGTATGGGTTGCCACCTCTATTTTCTTTTTCTGACTTTACACTGCTATGAATATTTTTACACATAAACATCTCACATCAGGGATCCCTGTGATCATTACACATAACCTTAATTCAATCTTAGAACCAATGGAGTCTTTTGAGTATGAAAAAGCCAACATGTCCACAGCCCAACTAGGGCTAACAACCAGTCTGTAATTTGCACCTGAGAAACTGGACAGGAATATGATGATAACACTCTCACAAGTATTAGCTGGCACTGTTGAGCTAAACCAGTCTTAAATTTTTCTTTACAGTAACCAACGTGTCACAACAAAATATTATAAATGCAAGACCCTCAAGGTTCCTCAAATGAGCCATATTTTATTTTGATCCCTCAATTTAAAGACAAACAACAGCAAAGTCTACTTATCCAATCACGAAGTAAATGTCTATAAAGCATTTTCCTGAGTTAGGAACAATAGTATGTTTTTGTTTTGACTATAGCAGTCAAATCTAGACTGACACAGTACACTCAGGGGAAGATTAAGCAAACCTCAACACTGGAGCCAGATTCCATTGCAAAGGCTGGACAAACACTCTGAGCCATCCGAAAGGGACAGGATTACCCCGAGGCTTGAATTTCTGTGATGACACATTCATGGTTTCAAAACTTTTGGCTCTCTACCTGAAGGGAGGGGGAGATCGTTCACAAAATGACTCTAGCTACATAAGCCTTACGGGCAGTACCCTCAATGCATTCTTTTTCATTTGTTGAAAGAGAAATTAAGAGGGTATTTTTTAAAAGAGAAAATATAACAGTACACCTACACACCTCTCAGCTAACCCTGAAAAACTATGAAAGAGAAGTTAGAAACTTCAGGGGGAAAAGAATTCAGTGACCTCAAAGAATAAAGGAGATCAAACCTCACTTTTGGCAAGTCTTCAATCTTGGAAAGACGAAGGGAGATTGATTACATCAGAAAATCTAAGATTTACTTGTTTAGAATTACACTTTTATACCCTGTGAAGGAGGCCTTGAAGTTATGATCTAGCAGACAATGATCCTGAATTCCTCATCAACTCAAATAAGTGTATCACCAAAGGTAAGCAAATACATGAAGGGAATTTTTCTTCTTACATTTAAGTATGACTTTCATCTGTTGAGGTGCCTAGACAAATAGATATTAAACAAATAAAATCATGAAGGGTGTTTTTAAAGTACTACCTTAAAAATCACAAAAGGTAAACCCTAGACCAGTGAACACCACTAAATTCATCAATCAGTTACACAAAAGAATAATTCATTCAGAATAAGTCTCATGAGAAAACCCAAAAGATAACTACAGAGTCAGAATTGATGAGTGAAGCACTACCTCGCCAGCATACAACAGGGAGATTGTAGGGCTGAAATTTATTAAACTGAACATACAGATAATGTTACCATGCCCTTTTGTCACTATCCATGATACCACAGCCAGGTAAAAGAATTTTAATGAATCTGTAAGGCCCATCAAAAAGACTGTCAGAATGTATTTCTCAAGTAGGGTTTGAAACGTCTTATTTCTAAGCCTCTCGCCCTAGTCAGGTCCTGAAAGCTGCTGAACCACAGAGGGCCTATCAAGTTAAACCTTCACTTAGGAGTGAGAATCATTACACAATGCTGTCATTCCACAGAATTTGAAACATTTCCTTTATCCAACTATCAAATAGCTGTCATAAGTGATGATAAGATTTTAAATTACTTACAGCAATCAGGGACAACAATATCAAACATGCCAAATAATAACAATGGCTGATATTTATTGTATACTTACCATAGCTGTGGGTAGACCCTGTGCTAGGCTATTTACCTGTCTCATTCAATTCCCATAAAACCCAAGAGGTAGGTGCTACCATTATCTTCGTTATTTTAACGGGGAAACTGAAGCAGAGAATGGTTAAATAACCAACTCAGAGTAAAGGAGCTCAGATATGGCTGATACAGGATAGAACTTGCTCTTGATCACTATACTATACAGAGTTCCTAAATGAGAGCACTCGATGGTGTTTTGTAGGCTTGTTGTTGTTGAAGATAACTGTAACTGAAGAAATACTTGATCGTGACTTTTAAAACAAGACTTTGAGGGGAAACATTTCAGCAGGCTGTAAGAAGACTTAAACATTAACATAAAGAGATTTTTAAAATTTTTTAAAGTCCAATATCTACTACTCAATCTGTTGATACAGATATATAGAGATCATGTATCATCTGCTTATAAAGAAGGAAGGTTGGCTAGTAAAACAAATTCTTTTACTATCAGCACAATTTGTATTTTAATTTCCATTAAAAAATTGGAGATGTAGTCTTAAAAAAATATGGTGAGAAAAAGGCAAAAAGGTAAGAGCTATCTTGAAAGCATTCTTCTGAGTACTGTCCCTACCCAGCAATCCCTTGATTTCAACATCATCTTCTGTATAGACCACTATTTTCCTATCTAATTCCAGGCAATGTGACTTTCTTTCATGCCTAATGATTTCTTGATTATATTGTTACAGTTTCCAGAATATTGTTGCTCCTTCATTTCATTCTGAGTCACCCAAAGCTGGGCTGTAATGTTACACTTCACCAGTAGGTGTCATGACCTGACATTATATATTCCAACTCAAATATCTTAAATTGAGACCTGAGGTTATAAAAAGCAAAAGTGACTCTGGGACAGAGGGACTGCCATGTGCATGAATAAATATTTTTTTAAAAAAGCAGAAGTGATTCTAGTTGTATTCAGCTTGAAAGCTAACAATTCTCTACACTGAATTTAACTATAAGTCAATGCTGGTATGAAGTCAAAGCTTAATTATAAATATTAATATATAGTATTACATTAACATATATAATATCGATATATATCAGAGCTAATACTCACTTCCCCCCTTTATCTGCCTTTACTTTTTAAGTTTTAAACTTACGCTATTATCAAATGATTGCTTTAGATAACAAATATATTTTGATAAAATTTATGCTAAGAGCTCTGACGGCATAGTGCCTAAGGCATGTGACTACTAACCAGAAGGCTGGTGGTTCAAACCCACCAACCACTCCTCAGAAGGAAGACCAGGCAATCTACTTCTGAAACCCAAGGAGGGATCGCTGAGTCAGAATCAACTTCGACAGCAATGAGTTTAGTTTTTTTTGTAAAAGTTATAGGGCGTCACTGTACAAACATACAAAAAACACCAACTTACCACTACTGCCACAATCTGCACAAGAGAGGAGTTCTTCTGGTTTCTTTTCACGGTTTGATTCTTTAGTCCCCAAACAGAAGCTACATATTGGAATGGGATCGGCACGAGGCTGTGACAAGGTTAAAATGAAAAACATATTGTTAGTTTTCCATTCTGAAATTTAAAAGAGAATATCAAAATCTTCTTGCATATTTCTTTAACAAAGAAAACATGCTGAAGAAGATTGTTGTTGAAGTATTCAAATCAACATTTTCTGCTAACAACAACAACAAAATCTCTTAAATTATCTGATCACAAAGAACTACCTGAATCTATCAGTAATATAAGACTCAAAATAGAAATAATCTTTATTAAACTAATGAAATCCAAGACATTTCTGTATTATATAGCTTTCCTGAAATGAACATTATTAAAGATCCATTTGACATCTCAATTGTTCCCACAACCTATCTGCCTATAATAAATTGATCATTCTAGTCAGCAATATAGTCCATGAATACCATCCACTAGGTCAAAGTTATTTAATTAAACTTTATTAAATACTATAATGCAAATAACAATTATTCATCTAGTAAATATTTAATATAAAATACTGGTATTTTGTGTATATGTGATATAATAATAGAGTTAGAACTAAGCAAGAATTTTAAAATTCATTGATCACTTGACAAGATCAAAAGACTTAATTAAAAAGGTCTTTCTGACACCAAAGTTAACCACACCATGCCATACATAGGGAGATTAAGCTCTTTGACATTGTTGTTGTTGTTGTTGTTATGTGCCATCGAGTCAGCCGTGACTCATGGCGACCCCTCCTTGGGTTTCCGAGGCAGTATCGCTACGGAAGTAGGATTGCCCAACCTTCCTTCCGAGGAGTGGCTGGTGGGTTTGAACCGCCAGCCGTCTGATTAGCAGGCAAGTGTCTTAGCCACTATGCTACCAGAGCTCCCTCTTTGACATTACCACTTCATAAAACAAACAACAAAACATATGTCTAACCCCCTCAACACTCTTGTTTTCTCAGTATGGAAATCGCTTTTAACAATGTATAAATCTACATACATTTTAGTGTCTCCATTGTCATTTATTACTATCAGCAACACTAGTGCTCCCACCCATATAAATAGTTGGCTGTGCTTACAGATCTGGTCACATGAGTTTGAACAGCCAAAACTGCATAAGAACTAAAATTTCATTGTGTATCCCAACCCTTCACACATGTTGTCTGCTAGCCATTTGAATGTTACTATGATGTCTTCTGGGCAATCTACTTCTGTGGTGATACTGCCTTGGAAACCCAAGGAGGGGTCGCTATGAGTCGGAAATGACTCGATGGAAATTAACAACAACAACATGATGTCTTTAGGAGCTCTGGTAGCATAGTGCCTAAGGCACTTGACTGCTAACCAGAAGGCAGCGGTTTAAACCCACTATCCACTCCTCGGAGGGAAGGCTAGGCAAGCTACTTCCATAGTGATACCACCTTGGCAGCCCAAGAAGGGGTCGCTATGAGTCAGGGCCGACTCCACGGCACATAACAACAACAACATGATGTCTTTACATCTTAATTCAAGAATTAAAAATTCAGTGCAAGAAAATCCAGCATAATCAGCAATGTTGTACAAAGTAAATCAGAAACAAGATTTTACTAGTTCTTATTTTCTACACATACATCAATATAGAATAAACTACAGCCTAACATACACCTTTATTTGTTCATTCACTCTATCACAAAGGCCTAATATGATGCCCGGGTACACAGTGGGTACTCAAGATATATTTGCTAAGTGAATAAATGAAAGAAATGTATGCTAGTTTAAAATGTAAACAAATCAACTACATCTCCAGGGTAATATCTCAAATGGTTATAATGATTTCAACAAATGTCTTGGTTCACATGTCATCAAAACCAGAATTCATCTTATAACCAAGCATTCGCAGAGCTGTTCAATTGACAGTTAATTTTATCTTACAACATGAACCTTCATTATCTTGCCCTTATTTTCAGCTTAATTTGTCCTTTTAATCTGCACAGGCTTTACTTTCTGAGGTAGCCATGCAAATATATTTTTGAAGCCCCTGTTAAAAAGCAGAGCATAAAACATGTTATATTAGAAAAAAATCAAAAAAGACAAGCTACAACAAAACAAATTGGTCACTGACTCCAGCCACAGTTTTTTAAATGCCAGATAATCAGCACTGCATAATTATGAATCCATAGTTATTACTTGCAACCGCTCAACTGCAGTACCTTGGGAACACTTTTGTTCCTTTAAATAGCAATTAAAAGAACAATCTGGTTTTAAAGTGACAACATTCCCCTGATAGATTCTAGCTAAAACCCAACCCTTGTACTAATGGGATTCTTGCTTTCATTTGATATAACAATGTTCAAGCCATTGCTGCCATCCTTGCAGTGATAAATAATTTACAAAATGTCACATATCATTCATGCAATGAAACAAATCCAAATCTGCAATCCTATTTTTCATTCCCAGATGAATTTTTAGCTTTAAAGAAAGACATGGCCATCAGCCAGCATTCATGCTCATTTTTTGTTTTTGACTAAAGGTAACACAAAGGACAAAGGTTGCTAGTAGTTCATGGCCAGAAAGACTGATATTCCACACTCAGCCTAATAATAGAAAGCATAGATGCTATCACTTCATGCTACATTCAAGTGAGTCCCACCACACTGATCTATGCTCAGAACCATTTATTTTAAGGATAACTATCTCACAATACTCTATAAGAGCACTGCATTATACAAAAATGTCTGCCCTGCTGAATTATTGATAATTCAAAGCACTTCTTGCTAACCTCAGTGTAACCGAGTCTAATTAACTTTAAAAAATTGTCACTTGTATGAAATGAAACTTTTACAGTAATGCATGTAAATGGGTCACAGAATTATTATCATTCACTATTCTCAATCATACTACACAAAACTTTCAAAAAAAAAAAAAAAATAATCCTTGTAATAGACTGAAATGGACTGTGGTCAGAGAGAGGTAAGAGAAAATGGCAATTTGATTCTGCATAAGTCCACTACACACAAGTCATTACTGCAGAGGTCTGAAAATGGAATAAAAAATCTCCAAATTCTTAATTCCTTTCTTTGAAATTTCAAAAAGGCATCTAACTTGTTGATCACACATTCTTATGAATATGCCTGAATATTTAAAACTAATCCTAAGAACTAATACTCATGGAATTGGTCTAAACATGAAAATACCCCCACCAAACAATGCCAACCAGGGTCTGGAAGCCTCTCCTCACCTTTTTAAGCAATAGCCCTGGAGCAGCTGCTAGGCTAGAGTCTGCTCACGGTGATCTCATAAACATCTGACATTCCTTTCAGTTGTATTACTATCTCCATTTTAGGGAGAAAACTGAGGATCTGAGAAGTTAGGTAACTATTCTAAAGTTGCACAGGTTCAAGTGTGAACCTGAAATTCAAATACAAGTCTGTCTTCTCTAAAGCCTATTCATCACTTTTGCCACCTCCCCTCCTAGTCTCTTTTTCTCTCAGAAAAACTGTTTGAAAATTATCATTCCATACATAAGTAGCAATGACTCTACTAATGTCTCATAATCTTCTCCCATGACCAGTGGCATATGTTTCTAAAAGTATTAAAAAAGGCAGCTACTAACACACCACAGATTATTTATTAACTACAAGTGGAAAAGGTACCTTAACAATGAGGAGAAATCTGGTAGACAACTCCTTAATCAACTGATCAAACTTAAAGTCACTAATATGGAAATTAAAACTGACATCATGTGCCTCCTACAGGACTCAGCATTACCTATGTAACATATTTATTGAAAACATTTAACCTGAGTCTAATCATAAGGAAACAATCAGACAAATCCAAAAACTGGATTACAAGGACATCCTATAGAGCAACTGGCTCAAAATCTTCAATAAAACATCAATGTTATGTAAGATCCAAAACAGGGCAGAGGCACTGTTCTGTTGTTAGGTGACATCCAGTCGGTTTTGACTCACAGTAACCCTATGTACAACAGAACGAAAAACTGCCCAGTTCTGCACTATCTTCACATTCATTACTGTGCTTGAGCCCACTACTGCAGTGACTGTGTCAACCCATTTTACCGAGGGTCTTCCCCTTTTTCACTGATCCTCTACTTTGCTAAGCACGCTATCCTTCTCTAGGGACTGGACCTTCCTGATAATGTGATCAAAGAACAAGAGACAAAGTCTGGCCATTCTTGTTTCTAAGAGGCATTATAGCTATACTTCTTCCAAGACAAATGTGTTTCTTTTGCAGTCCATGGTATATTCATTATTATTTGCCAGCATCATAATTCAAACTTAACAGTTTTCTGCAGTCTTCTTTATTCATTGTCTAGCTCACACATGCATACGAGGCTATTAAAAAGACAATGGCTTAGATCAGGCACACCTTACTCTTCAAAGTTACATCTTTATTCTTTTGCACTTTTAAGGAGGTCTTTTGCAGCACGTTTATCCAATGCAATACACCTTTTTGACGTCTTGACTGCTGCTTCAATGTTCATAGATTGTGGATCCAGGTAAATGAAATCCTTGACCACTTCAATTTTTTCTCCTTTACCATGATGTTGCTTACTGGTCCAGTTCTGAGAATTTTTGTTTTATTTATGTTGAGGTATAATCCACACTGAAGGCTGCAGTCTTTGATCTTCATCAGTAAGTACTTAAAGTTCTCTTCACAACGGTAACAAGCAAGGCTGTGTCATCTGCATATGACAGGTTATTAACGAGTCATCCTCCTATCCTGATTCTGAATTCTGCTCATATAGTCCAGCTTCTTGAACTATTTGTTCAGCATACAGATTGTGTAAATATGGTGACAGGATACAACACAGATAGCAAAGCTTTCCTGATTTTAAACCACACAGTGTATCCTTGCTCTATTCAAACGACAGCCTCTTGGTCTACATACAGGCTCCTCATAAAAACAATTAAGTGTTCTGGAATTCCCATTCTTTGAAATGTTATCCATAATTTGCTATTAAAGTTCCAGTAAGATGGTGGACTAGGCAGAAAGACTACACAAATCCTCTTCAAAAAAGAAAAGGGAAACCAATTAACACAGACAC